ATTTCATTCATTCATCTAAACCCCGGCGATATTTTCATTGCATCAGCATTAAAGAATCTTATTGTAACCGACAAAATCATTGAAATCATTCATAAGCATTGATGACTGGTTCGAACATACGTAGTCAGCCAGGGGCATCATTTTGTTTAGACTAGTCTATGGTGATGATCATAGCTGAAAGTATATTACCGAACATAAATAATCCAACATTTCTTTCTTTAAGCCGTGCATCAATACAGGTATTTTAGAAACGTGCGGTTTAACTAGATGTCATCCCTGACATAACGTGACGTCGTCGATATATCACAGTTTGTATCAAATGAACTTTACACAATTTGTTATCTTCGACTGCAAACTATTAGTTATTCTCTCAAATTTCAATATATTTATTTTCTAAAAGAAAAAAACTATCGGTTTTAAGCTCGGCGAAGAAGAAAAGGGGTATTATATGGAAGAAATATATTATATATAAACAGGGCGGTAACCAGTTCTCCGTAGCTATAAATCAACATTCATTTCACTTTCATTTATCACTTGAGACTAAACCAGGGGAAGGTTGAATTTCCTGACCAAGCGGTTGGTGTAATTATGTTCGACTCTCTGGAAGCATTATTTCGCTTTCAAAAGGACACAAACTCGGTATATTCGCTTTCCTGTATCACTCTTGAGTTAGGGATGTGGAATTTACTACTGACAAAGCGGTTATTATGCAAATAAAAAACACATTGGGAGCCATGATAATGCTGTACGAAACTTCTGAAACAGCCTTCTTCATTCGCCGTTCTAGCAAATCCTATACAATGTAGTTTTTCTCGAGATGATATTTTCGAAACGCTTACTAAGGTATGTTAGCGACTAGACTGGTTTCAAAGTCGATCCCATAACACATAGAATACTGTTTCTGATCAGTAAGAGACGTCAATATTGAAGCAGGCATTTTACACACACCTTTTTCACGTTTAAACCCGTATTCTATATAGGAGTTATTATATCATTCGACTGCTTCTTATTACATCGCCTTTGGTAAATTATATATGTACGGAATAGACTTAAAGATCAGCACGTACGCCATCAGAATATACATCACCTCCCAAGTATATGAAGGCTTTTGAACACAATATGAAGACTTCCAACAATAGAAATCTATCCACATAGGAAACCGTGTTACATATTACTATTTTTAAATTACTTATCCATCGTACACAGAGACGCACACATACGAATCAGTTCCAACTAGTGTTCACCCCAACTTCTCACAGGGCAAATATTAGATCTCTTCTAGGGCAATATGGTAGTTCACTTACATTAGCCAAAGAAAATTCCATGCTGTGTATACCCGAGGAATAATTCTGTGGCCTAAAGACATGCTATAACGACATGTTAAAAGTGACGCGCTATCATGGGGTAATGAATGGACTGATATACTTTTCGGAATAGCATTCGACGAGTAATGAGTAAAAGAGTAGGCTCTACTAAATCACTGTACCTGGGTAGTGGGTACGTTCACATTCAGCAAATTGAAACGTTGGATGTGAATAAAAAGCATAATGTCAGGGCATATCTTCACGAGATGATATTTAGAAGACTGATCTAAAACTGAAAACAATGAGTGTTTTCACCACATTTTACTAATACATATCAACATGATTCAAACTTTGCCAAATTTTCACCCTTTGAAAAATGCCTTGCGCCTTCACAATTGTTTGGTACTGTGTAATAGACTGACACTGGTATTGTACTGTCTAAAATTGTTTTATATTCGTCTACAAACGGTTAGTATTTTGTTTCAATAATGGTTTAGTCGATCGCATGAGACAAACATTAAGACCCCCTGTTCCTTTGCTGTTAATCGTTGCCTGTTTTCAGTCGTCCTATTACTGATAAGAAACAGAAAAGTTGTCAAATGACCCAATTCCTTCACTGTCGTAGACGATCTGATGAGTCTGGTGCTAAGTGTATGGAATAAACTTTAAAAATCTAGAAAATGTTGATCAAATGGATACCTTTCAAATAGTTTTCTAGGAATGGGATTCCGCATAAATTTTAACGTTTATTATCATTTTGCAGAATTGTGTGATAAGCTAGCTGACAGTTTTAAACTTGTGTAACGAATAACTCAATTTTTTAGACAGTTTTGCCAATATAAAGATATAGTGCAAAGTATTTTTAGATCTATGCTGCCGTAATTAAAGTCATATAAGTGTTTTTATAGTCGAATAAAAACATTCAAAGAATAATACCACTCGTTATTCAAACACTTGGTGGCCTTTAATTTGGAAACACGATCTGGTAATAGATGCATCTTGCGATCGTATGATCGTTGTGAGTTGACCTGCGGTTACATAAAATAGAGAAGCGACTGTATATCATCAAGTACTCGACACCCCTTAAGAGAAATCTTTTCAACGTGGTAGTTTTATATTCCAAGTTTAATCGACAATGTACATCTGTAAGCCATAAGTTCTATTCTTCACGTATGCAAAAATTAAAAATTCACTCGTTTAGGGTATTCTAACCAACGAGTGAATATTAATGTACTTTCTTTACTAAAGAAGAGATAGTAATACATATTAATAACTTTTAATTTATTCCTCATCCATTTCTTAATGTGCTCACTTCTTACAATATTATATTTGAATCGATACAAATTTTCATTTATTCTCTTACTTTGGTGGCACAATGGCCTCCGATACTGTGTGTCTTCATTACCTCAATGAGGTACACCCATGTAGGACATAGACCTTGTTCAACAAAATATTATTTTAATATGAAACCTCACCTAACCTTGAACTAAAGGCAATAAAAATATTTATTTTTCAATTTATTTTAAACTCGAGCATTGTTTTCTTAAATTGAAAACAGACTGTTTGAATGAAAATACAATTTAATTGAAATGTCCTCAACTACAATTGTTTTACCAGAGCGCACATGCCGGCAATAAAAACCATCAAAAAGTTTCTGACACGAATAGGCCAAGGTAAAACATTCAAAACGTTGAAATTAAAGAAACTTTTACCAGTATACTAACAAAAGGGTTTTTAACTGTGTATATCGTGCAACATTACAAATTTACTAAGAGTACCAAATAGTAGTAGAGGAGACGAAAGGGTGCCGAGTTGACACCCTCGGTGGGGCGTTTTGAACGTTTACACAATGATACCATTCATTTACATTTTTAAATTTGACTGAAGATCGCAGAGCGTGCAACTCTGAGTAACAACCTGTTTTAGGTTCTGTTTTATATTTCTATGTCGCTCAAGAATTGGTGTAAAGGGCAGTATTGTAACATTGAGAATATTTTGTTTTGTATATTTCGGAATATAGCAATATACAAGAGGTAAACATTATGGATATAACAAAATTCCTTTCAAAGTTTAGTGCCATTTACGTAATCTCTTGTTTAAATGTCGCTTCATGATTATTAGTATTATATTTAGTACGCGCATATTTCCACGTAAACAAGTATTCTGCTTGTAGCTTTATTGTGAAGATATGAACAAGCAAATACATTTTCCCTTTTTAAGGTTCAATGGCACTTTTAACGTCTGAAAAATAAAATGTCTCACAAGGAAAGTAAGACGAGACTCTTGTTACGCGAGATTGGCAAGTATAAAAAAACAAAGTTGGTAAATATCAAAGCGTGTTGAATCAAGCAGAGAACCCTGTCTTATACCTTTTTACATAACACTTTCAATTCATTGTAGCCTTCACGAGTGTCTTATCTGCATACATACGAACAACATTTGCATAATTATATTGGCTTCTCTTTTTTCTGATGAGTTGAAACGCGGTAATTTGACGTTAGCGGGTTTAAATTAAACTACTATCAATATCATCGTACAAACACAACTTTTTTGTACAAGTAGTGTTTTGTTGTCATTTTGTGAACCTTATTGGGCCAACCTTGACGGACAGTGAAAGAAACAATTCTTTACTTTTCTTCGATTTCGAATTGTTGAGCAACGGGCTTGTGTCGTCTCAATTCAACTCAATATCTTTTCAATATCAACCCCCCTGCCCTGCATCAGTGATAAAAGGGTGTAGGTTTGAAATATTAGAAGGTACAATCTCGCTCTCTTAGACCGCCCAATAAGCTGGTATATTATGAAGAGGCATTTTTTGCGCTTCCGCTTGTCAATCAACTTATTGTTAATTGCTTTAATGCGAAAGGTCTGTGATCTTTATTACGTGCATCTTGCTTACATTAGAATATGTGTACAATAATGAAGACATCGCACTTCTACTCTTATCTCTTGATCATAATGAGGAACGATGTAGCATGTAAACAGTCATCGAAAATCCATTATGCTACATAAACGAAGTGTTGAAATTCATTGTCACTCATTGCCATTCCGTATTGGTTACTATTTGATGGGCTTTTACTCAGTACTCGCAACTCTTATCCAATTTATCTTACATTAAGAATTGCTGCATTTATTACGTGCACTGAAAGTTAATTATAGTATACAATATTAACCACCCTTTTTCTAATTACATTTTGATTGACTGCTAGTTCAGAACAATATTTAACTTACAAGAATTAAATGGTGATCGTGGATTCTAATACCGGTCGACGAATTAGGCAGTTATTAGGTTGACGATGTTAAGGCGTCCGCATTTTAAGGCATTATCGAATATCCACTCAATTCAGACTTGCGTCATGAACGAGCCTCAATGTCATTATCAAGCAGGGCGCCTCAATATTACGTGCATTTCTCCAGATCCCTGCACAGCCAGCATTCAATATATCTAGGAATATGTAAATATTGATGAATTGAAAGATAATATTTCACAGATTGATCAAACGATTGGCTAAAATTCTGCATAATTTCTATTCTTATTGTATGCGACCGTTACGAAGACACACCCCCTTTCCCATTCCTGGCTATCACGTGATGACTAGATCTGACGTACAATCTCTGATGAATTTGGAGGTAAAAAAGACAGTATATAAAAGTTGATATCAAGGACGACTGTCAGAGGATTACATAATATATTTCACAGAATTGTCGGTAAGGCAGATTGATTTTCTAGCTTTCTTTCGCACATAATTCCACAAAATGACACTATTGGATTGATCAGAGCCGTTGATGGAGAGATTTTTATTTCTTGGTAATCTTAAGGAATATAATAATAAATTTTAGATAGAATAATTTGAAGAAATATATTCAGGTTTTTGTTTGTAGTACAAGCGTCGTAATCAGATTGCTCAAGTGATTTTTAATTTCGTGGGAACCTTAAGGAATATAATAATTATATATTCTTTATATAAATATACTCATCTTTTCGTTCGTAGTTCACGCAACATAATAATGATAACAATCAAAGTGATGTATCTCTCAGAACGAATGAACATGGCATAGCATTTTCTTTTTTCTTTCATGTAATTTGAAATTATTATCAGAAATGCACTCGCTTACTTTATGGTTCTGTATAGAAATGTTCTGGGATTTACATAAAAAAGATACAAATCTTGAACTGATTTTTTAAAGAAAGAAAGCCGTTATGTCATTTCTGACACAAAAAATAAACAAATGTGTATAAATTTAAAATTAATGAATGTGTTTCAAACTGATAAAAACTGAATTTTGTTTATTGTAGACAGAGATCGTAGAATATTTTCTTTCATTTGGGAGATTAACATAAATCTATTTTTTACTCATACCAATTTTCTTTTTCGTAATAGTTAAAATACATATATAATAATTTGAAATACTTGCATTTTTTTAGGAGATAACGTACGCTTGTCTTTATAGTAAAAATCCTTTTATGTTCTTGTATCAAGGAGATTGCAATAACAGAAAGTTCATACAAGTCATTGATAAGTCTTATTTTATAGTGTCTACTCTTTTCTTGTACATAGACAAATATGTATCTTAAAATTTATTTTAGAATCAATAAGGTTAAACTATAAACTAAGTATTTTCGCATTCTAAAGAGACTTTTAGAAAAATCTTCTTCTTCACTTTTCCTCTTCGATCTTTCAACAACTTCTTGTTTTCTAATTGGATATTCTGGTCTATTCTAATTCAATCAATTCTAATTCAACCATGTTCTCTATTCTATTTCAACCATGTTCTATATTCTATTTCAACCATGTTCTATTTTCTAATTAATCTAATTCAACCATGTTCTCTTTTCTATTTCAACCATGTTCTCTATTCTAATTAATCTAATTCAACCATGTTCTCTATTCTAATTAATCTAATTCAACCCTGTTCTCTATTCCAACCTTATGCTCTATTCCAATTCAATTTAATGGCTCTACCCAATTCAACCATGTTCTGTATGCTAATTAATCTAATTCAACCATGTACTGTATTCTAATTAATCTAATTCAACCATGTACTGTATTTTAATTAATCTTATTCAACCATGTACTGTATTCTAATTCAATTCCCTTTTTGGAAAGGTTTTTATGGTTGAATAACATTTCTTGTTAGTAAATCGAAGAATCTGCTAAATTTAAGTTTTTTGAAAGAAAACTTTCTACTCCCTTCGATAAAGACTGACATTCGATTCTATTTTATCGTATGATGTTTAGTCGAATTTCTAATTTTATTTACTTTTATGAAATCCCAATAAAACAACCGCATTGCTATTGACTTTGGAATCTGTATTACCACAGTTATCATTTTGCAGCCTGATATAAGCCACCTATTCGAAACTGTCATATATTAAGATTGAAATGACATTATTGGCAGAACGTCGTATTTGACACCAATCTCTGTTCCTTAGTTTGATGCCGTCTTCATTAGCCCATAAAGTGGAGAAAAATATGACGTAAAACTCCATTCATTTCCTTGACTCAGACATTACCCTATCTTGCAACTTTGAAGGTATCACCAACCCACCTACAGTTGCTGAAGTCGGAAACATGTTTGATGTGGAAGGTCGCATAAAAATACGCGTACAATAAATCGACCACAATAAAAAAATAGCCAGTTCAAATGTTTATAGTACTGGAAGTTTCAAGAGTGACCACGACTCTTTAATATCTATCATAAAATATAATCAAAACACTAAGACATTGGCCAGAATCAGTGAATGAAATGCCACCAATTGGCAAGATATCAGTAAAGCTTGTCTTGTTTGTAATTATCAGTCTCTGGAATGTAATTGTTTATCTGGTTGTAACTGAATTCCCATATAAATGTATATCCTACAAACTTGAACTAGTTTCATCTGTTTACACAGCAAGGTCTGCTTTTTTCAAACATTTTCATTTCTTTTTAAATCTTGTGGACTTAGTAATACTGAACTAGTTTTGAGTTAAATGTCAATTAATTTCAAACACGAGGACGTTTTTTTCTTACGTTTAATTTGTGTTTAAAGAGTGCGTTAATGTCAATACCAGGGGCTCGGTTTATGGCGTCTAAAGCACCACACTAAACCTCGATATTTGATTTTCACTGTTATTGTATCACTATTACCTATATCAAGAGTGTATGTTTATTCGGTCGGTTGTAAGGTATACCCGTGTTCAGAAAATACACCACCAGTGACGACCGACATTTATGCACATTCAGGAACAGTCACATCTAAGCGATCAAACAAAAATACGAAGTCCACTTCAGTTTTAGGTGGAATAAAACAGAGTGAAACCATCCAAGATATACAAACTGTATCCAGTGGTACTTATTGTATACAATAAACTTCCTACAAAAGGGTTATGCTTTGAATAGTTTGTGCACAATTATTTGTGCTGGACCAACTTACCCTGACCCCGAAGCAAAATGCAACTGCTCTCGTTTATGTCTTTTCAATGTCCGGGCTTGTAAGGATGTGTAAATATTTACATAAGCCAAATACGTCCATGTAAAGAAAATATTAACTAAGTTTTCATATTTTTCCGATTCTTCCGATTGAATTATTTTCTGCATTAGGACTGTCTTTCAGAGGAAAATCGTAACCTGTTCTTTTGTTTAGAACCTACGTCTTCAGATATTGCTGGTCGTGCAGTTATTTTAAGCTTTAATGCACCTAGTTTTGTTGCTTAGCGACATCCGGAACACTGGATCATTTTTGTCTTCATTTAGGGCTGCATTCTCTTACGTTTTGCTGTAAAAATTAAATGAAATATTCATTTAAATTCCAGCTTAACTGAACAAAATGGCTTGTGCTATTACTGGTTTAACTGCTGCTGAGAAATCTCTTGTTGCTGAGGCCTGGAAGAATATTTCTCCCAAGAAGAAGGACTATGGAGTTGAACTTTTTATGTCGTATGTATTTTGATTTACCAAGTAAAGCCTTAATATATCTTAATATTATTGATAAATAAGACAATTTATGGATAGATACTTCTAGCATATTCATTACTTCAACGTTTCAATGTGGTTCTCACACCGTCATCAGGAATATAATCAACCACATTGAAACGTTGAAGTAATAAATATCCTAGAAGTATCTATCCATAAATTGTCTTATTTATCTATAACCTGTGCTTCTAATATGCCTTTGAAAGATTAACATCATTGGATAATGCTGACCCATCTATACCGTTCAAAACTCAACACAAAAGCTTTTCACAGAATTCGCCTAGCTAACAATGTGTAATTTTTATATTAATTACACACCAGTAGACCGATGACTCTGGTTTTCAACAAGACTGTCTGAGAGGCCACTTTCAGACTATTAATTAAAGCTATGCTATGCTATGTATGGAATTTTATTCGGCAGCTTAACATATACTCAGCTACCAAAGAATCGTATACACGTAAACATGTTTGTACGATGTAACTCTTGCGAATATGATTGACAACAAATTTTACTACTTCGTTCATTCTAGACTCTTCACAGCTCACCCAGATGCATTGGACCATTTCAAGAACTTTCCAAGCAAGAACTTGGACGAGATTAAGAACACTGCTGATATGAGAGCTCATGCTGCTGCCGTCATGTATGCCCTGGACTCTCTTGTCGATAACCTGGAAGATCCAGAATGTATGGTTGGTCTGATTAGAAAGATTGCCAGAAACCACAAATCACGTGGAATTGGAAAGAGCCGATTTGAGGTGAATACTGTCAGTTTAGATATATTCATTTATGTAATTTATTATTCTTTGATCTGACGAGTTTGTTAAACAATACATGTTATAGGTCATTATGATATTCCACCAATCAAATGCTCTGTTAACATTGAAGCTTACTCAATAAGAAAGTAAGATACGCCTTCTTACTTGTTAATTTCGAGAGATATGGATGGAAAGTACCGTAACCCACAGAAGAAGGAAGAACAAAACATCTTGATATGCGTTTTAATCATATTCAGCATTTGATAGTCATTCTTCTCCTGTTCTCCAAAAGCATTTACCACATGTCTTAAATAATGGACATATATGGTAATGTATTTTTATTATTCTTACAGCAACTCAGAGGCATCTTTGGTAACTTCTTAGATACTTCTCTTGGTGGAAAATCCAACGCTACTACCAAAGGAGCTTGGGACAAATTCCTTCACTTCACAAACAACCAAATTGAAACTATGCAAGCCTAAGAATTCCAGATGTTTGCTGATTTCGTCCTGTGGAGATGTTTGACAGCAGATACCATAAAAGTATAAAGTATATGAAATAGAACCCTTCATTTATATTATAAACTTTCATTAGACAAAGACAGAATGCATACAGTGTGTAGTTCATCATCGTTTTTCACAACCTTTGCCATTTGACACATAAATTCATAGGCCCGTAGCCACAGAGGGTACCTTTCTCAAATACGTATAGAGGTTAACACCAACAAAGGCAGCAAACAATGTAACCAACAATATCTTGTGTTGCAATTAAAACCCGTTCTTCAACAGACCAACATACGGAACATAGCTTCGACTTTTGCTCTATATATTCAGTTATATGCTTGGAAAACTATATTGTCCTTATGTTAACAGTATTACATATTGAGAATTTTTTAAATTTGTATTCATTTATAGCTTCCGATATCCATAAAATCTTTTAAGGAAAATAAGATTGCAAAGACGCTTCGTTAGTGGCTTAATTGGTATAAAATTAGTTCTGATTCAGCCAAAATGGTGACAGGGATTACAGCCGCCTTTTACTCAAGCTGCCACAAAATCAACGACTGTCAGAGAATTTTAATTATTTTTACATCACAGTTGGCTGGAACCTCAGAACGACGGACAATCGATGACGGCGGCTTTAGATACCACGTTTATTACCGTTCGCTAACACTGTAGACCAATCTTCAACAACAAATATACTTATAGTTCTATGTATCTGTAGGGACAACTCTATGATATATTTTTGTGTTATGTATTTTATTTGCTTTTTTAGAATAAATGGTATGAAAGTTTTGTATTTTCTTGGAAAACTGCTGTTGAAAATCAATTTCTATAGTAAGGAATAATACAAACGTTATCTGTCGAACGATATGCTACATTGAGATTGAAAATTGGTAAACAATCTAATCGTTCTAGCGCACAGCAAGTCTCTTAAAGCCCAATTAGCGGAACTAACGTAGACAACGTCTACATCATGCAGTTTGCACGGAGATTTTTTGTCGATTTTAATGGATTGCTGTAAATCTACAGAACGTAAATTTCCTGTCTTATCTGAACATTCAGAAACAATACTATGCCTACGTTAAATATGAACGACTTATCCAACGATCACAAAGTTGTCCAGAAATCAAGGACTCAGAACCAGCTTCTGACAAGACTTTGGAAAGAACCTTGTTAATTGTTGTAGATCAGAAACAATAGGTACGATTTAAGGGTGATTCTTTGAGTCCATTTTTTTAACACTACATATATCAAAACTGTACGTATTGGTCAGAATTTAGCAGTTCAGGAACATTTCTGTCACGGTATAGGTTGTAACAAACTTTTTAAAAGAAAAGTAAGCTTTCAGCTTCGTGTCGTTTTGAAACATACACAACATAATCTACGCCAATATTCTCATGTTTGAATCAAGTAAGTTGCTATCATAAATCATAGCGTTTTTGTATGAGCCTACAATATGCGAATAATTATAACACAGTCATGTAGCTTTTGTATTTTGAGTATCCATAATGATAAAACAGGGGTGGACAGGTGTATATCAAGAAGTCTTAAAAAATACCTTTAAATATTTAATCTAAAATCTTTACAAAACATACATATCGTGCAAAGCGGTTGAGGAGCATTGAGATTCTATATTGCAGCGAAGAGAGTTGGGAAATACAAGTCAACATATGTCGTAATGAGGAACATTACTTAAACCTTCTCAAACATCAAGCTTTATCAATGTTTCTCATTTTATATAAACAGGCATCAATGTTCGAGTTGTTCCGGGGTAGTTATTATTAAAATTGTACATGACTCAGGATGAAAGGATGATTTCAATACACTCTTACATTGGCACACACCCGATTTCCGAACAATACTGGAAGCAATTTTGCACTCTGCAAACATAAGCGGTTAAGATGCGGTTAAATTCAACAGCCCTTCGTTCAGTTGTCCGCTTTTATAAAAAGTTCTCTTTGGAACTTTTAGTTTTTACCTGATTAACACAGGACTTCATCATTCCATATGGTTTGATGTACAACAATTCAGAGAGGCAGAGCAAAAGTTTAATACGAATGTCAATTTTCAGTATAATGCAGCACACAAGCAAAAGCAAAGTCAAAATACCCCAACGTTGTTAAGCTTGATCCTTCTCGATTTGGTTATTTAAAACAGTTAAAAATTTATCCCAAGCTGCTTTTATTCCACTGGTTGCTTGATCTCCTAGTTGTTTATCAAGATATCCACCGAACAGGGCACGGAGCTCCTAAAAAGGAAAATCATTGGAAGATTAATATTCAGTCAGTAAATACTTTTGGTCAACGTGTAAAAGTTAGTATAACTGAACTGTGATCTAGGAAACATATTTATATAGAAACTCTATTCCAAAGACCATTTAGTCCAGCAAAACGCCCGTGCACTTCCTGCCTGAGAATATTCAAAACATTCATTTTGGATTGTATTTGTAGGCAAATGACATTTCCAAACATAAACAAATGTAAACCTGTTTTGGTGTGTAAAATATAGTAATTTGTAATTTATAGGCCACAATTATATTGTTGCGTATAGCTGCCAAATATATCACATCTTGCTCGTCTGGTAGTTCAATGTTAAACATTGCAGAGCGTCCATTGCTCTTGGCTAAAATTAAGTGGACTTCCAGTTTTTAACTTTTGAATCCCGACCAGATGTGACCTGAAGAGACACACGTCTTATACAGCTCAAACGTTCCCTATTGTTACCTCAAGTAATTTGTTACCTCAAAATCCTTTTTCCCAATATTCCGGGCTTTGTGGTTCCTGGAGATTTTCTTGATCAAACCTAACATGCAATGGGGGTCTGTTAGATTATCTACTAGAGAATCCATAGCATACATAACTGCCGTGGCATGTGCTCTCATATCAGACATCCCTTGCAGTTCCTCAATACTTTTCCCGTCAAACTCATGGAAATAATGCAAAGATTGTGGATATGAAGAAAATAACCTGGAGTAGAAAAACAAATGAGATGACTTCGACAATATCAATACTTTAAACAACGTTAATCACATTCCAACTTTTAGATTTCATCAATATTAAGAGCAGTTTGCATCTTAATTTAACATATTAAGATTATGTTACCGGCAATGTCGAATTAGTTCGGTCACTAGAACAATCAGGAAAAGATCAATTCCAAGAGGTTTAGCCAAGGACCAGCTGGTAGAAAGGATCCTTGTGAACTGAAGTTGTTATCATTGTAAAATGGCTGTTTCATCTGCTAAAACAACCGATTGTATGCCATTTTTCATTGCTTTAAAGAACAATTTCAGAAAATAAACAGATTCAAGAATCTGACCTCGTTAAAATGAAGACACTTACGTCATGAATAATGCCATCCCATTATCCTTTTTCTTTGAGCTCAGCAACTGCCAAGAATCTCTGATAGTTGATTTCTCAGCATCGGTTAATCCAGTTACATCGCACGTCATTTTGAAGCCTGGAGACAACGAGGATAATTTTATTAGAAATGTACATCTGCGGTAAAGAATATATAGATAGCTTCGTTGACTTGTGGGTCGTTTGCAATGTGTTTTATAAGACTCTTTTAGTTTATTTTTCATGCTACCAGTAGCTGCAAAAACTCTCGATAGTTTCAGGAAAAGTATTACAACCAATGGCTTGAATCTCGAGGAGTTTGGCCCTTTGGAACCCCTGTGAAGTATATCACTGACATAAGTACTCACGGTCCCTCGCGATCAGACTTTGGAAAAACAAATCATATGTGAGTGGAATAAGAACATCAACTGTCATTTTGTAGAAGTATACACTATAAATCATCATTAATACTGCCTCCAATGAACAATGGAAAAAAAACACATGTCCTGTAGCACACCAGCCTCCAGAGCAATGAGACGCTCTGGCATGATTTCAGCCTGAACATGATCCTTACAATGAATTTCTGATCTACATAAGTATGCGATCGAATTCGTATGTAATTTCCAATATCCAAGAATTGTGCAATTTTCTGCATAATATACATCAGTATACGTTGTTTATGATACATTACTTCAAAACTTACCTTCGGTCTATGTGGTAATTATGATGAAAAATTGTCGCAAATCTCGTATAAATATGAACTTTTACACTTAAAAAAACTTCAAAACAATCAAAAGCTAGTTGTAGTCACGTGATATAAGTCTCCAACTGGGTGGGAAAACATCTAAAATAATATTTTTTACAATTGTTCTAGTGTAAGGTTTTGGTCGTTATTTATCGGTTATGCCTACCACAAACCATTTCTCACAAGATTTCTGTCAAAAATCGCTTCATGAATCCGTTGGCACGTAATTCAAACCGCAGTCAATGATCACGTAAACTCACGTAGACAGATTGTACTCAAAAGTTTCAGTTTTGTTACAAAGAGAATACAATAATTTACAAATATGCGTATTGGTGAATGGATGGGCGAGGGGGGTTAATAAACGCATGTTACAGGATGTGGACAAGGACCCTAAACTATTTTTCTACCACTTTGATACAGTCTTCAGTACCACACCGGTTGGTTAAATGGGACACAACATATTGAGCACGACGCTTTTCTGCTTTAGAAACAACGTTGTATGCCAGAGGTTTTTTCAACATAATATTAGGTTTCTAATGCATTTGGATAACACTTGTGTGATATTTTCAAAGCCAATTGAAATTGTCCGGCAAAATATTTTGACAACTTGATTCTTCTCTACACATGCGAAGCTCCGTTTCTGCATGTCATGGGAATGCTTCTACTGTGAATGGTCTGCAAGGCATGGCCATAAGACTCTCACCATACACAAACTGTCATTTTTTTCCACTAAATGAAATTTTTCAGGACAGAAATAGAAATGGCTAGAAGATGAATCGGCTGTTTTCATTTATTATTTTGTAACAAATGGCGACGACAGTCTGAGCTAAAAAAAATCAAATGCAGTTGATGGTTTTAAAGTTAGTTTTACGTGACTGAATTCAGTTGTTTATTAAATTTTGGCCCGTGGTGTCAAAATGTCGATCAACGTTGTGTCAGTCCACACCAGAGACAAAAAAATTATTTTTTTTGCTAATATCTTTAATCCACAAAATTTTGTAAATACATCGCCCTAAGTTGATATCTTTTTGTTTACGACTTTACGCAATCATACGGTAAACAAAAATTATTTAAAAAGAAAATCAAGATATTAGTGATGATTAAGTATGATTCATTATACATGATAAGAAATTAAGGTTACATTATGCAAGATTATTAATAAGAGTGTGGTATACAAAATGAAATGAAGTAGAGACTTCATGTTTGCAATTGGGAAATGCAGAAATGCAATATCATGCGTTATGCATTGGCTTTGCTTGTTTCGGATCCTTTGTAAATGGTCGATGTACAGTTGAAAAGGATGCTGTCTTGGCAAAAGAGCAGATACAATTTAATGCTTATAATTTCTTGGTCATCTGCGGCTATTACAAAATCCGATTATAAATATTTTGGAACAAGGCATCAGCTCAAATCTTAAGAATCTACCAAAAAACGTAGCGCTTTATGGAATTGAGTTTTTATTTCGTAAACATACACCACATTTGATCATTACTTCTAGTCAAATTTGCACAAGATATATTGAGTGAAAATTGAGACCTTGTTCAGAGCGATCATTCATTCTTTGAATTCAATTCGTTAGATCCCTATATCCCATAAGTAATGTGTAAACTTAAAAAGTATAGACTTTTGAATTTGTATTAATAGTTTGATATTTTAAATCGGCTGACTCAAAGAGTGTTAACTACGTCCACTGAATATTGTTATTTTATTTCATAATTTAGAATCATTCAACCTTCAACTATAACAAACTGTATATGACAAGAACAGCATAAGGAAAGTAAACGGAAGTCTCATATTTCCATACAAAAAGCACATACATTCAAGACAAATGACATTCGTCTATTAAAGACTGTCACGGTCTCAATGTCTTCAATATCTTAAATTAATCGCAATTTCAAATGCCTTTGCAAAAAAATTCCGTCTCTGCTACAAAATAACTACTTGTACAATCTTGATGTATCCAAGGACTCCGATCCAAGCGTTTATAATATTATATATGATATAATGTTGGATTATTTAAATCTTTCGTTGACGGCTTTAAATGCTGATATACGATATGCATTCAAAAGATATTTATCACAGGAGATATGATATATCGGTAGGTAGATAGATGACAAGTTAACGTTCGCTTCCAGCGGTTGTTTAATTTGGATAATTCTGTGTTGTTGGTTTGGTAGTTGATAATGAGATAAAAAAAAATATCAGTAACAGATTAATGTTTGTTTATCGGGAAGCCTTGCATTGTTGACTTAACATTGTTGTGTCTTTCCGCATTGGAGTGGACAAACCTTAATATAGCCCACTGTGGAATTTAAGAGAAACCAATAGACGTCGCAAATTAGTTGAAATCTGGAAGCATTGAACATGAAGGGAAGAGCATTCCACGGGAATACTTCATTCTGTCGTAAGCCAGATTGTCCTTCTAGCTTGATAAATCGTTCGTTACTTAAAATGACGAGATAAAATACATTCTCGTATCTATTGTTGTTATAATTAGCTGTTGATTTCGTGTATATCGGTATTTACACCTTACGATATACTATATAAATATTATAATACATGATCTACATACTCACGATGTTTCATAAATCGAAACGGAACTTTGACACAGAGGAAGTAATGTGGAAAGGGAACCAACCTTGTACGAAAAGCTAAGATTGACTGTAAATACACCTAAAATCAATGTACATTCTTTCAAATTGAAATAATACGGAAAGTTATTACTGAAGGGAGATAACTATATAGTGTGTAATTAAAATATTTCCCTCCTCTACGAATTGTCCCTTCGTAATACGGTAAATGATCTTTTTTGTGATTAGAACGGAAACAGTTTAAGCGTGTTCCAAGAACACACTGGCAAAGCATTGGTCCAAAAAGTTGCTTACATCGAGATAGATGGTTGTTCAAATATGATGAAGGAGGTGCAATGCAAAACAACTTATAAATTGATGGAAAAATAATGCCCATCATCATCCACGTCAAAATCTTATAGTACTTTGTTAGCCTATCCTTTTTCAATTTTCCACTGCCGAGCAATCATCAGGGTTTCGGTTTCCCTCAAATCTGCATCACTGCCAACTATTTAGAAGAAGTGGCGTATTAAAAATTAAGTCGCAGATTGGCAATTGGTGTTCCAGTAAGTCGGAATAAAGTATCGATATACTGGTCCATTTAAATATTTCACTATTCCATCTAGAGATCTGTTATTAGACTTTTAGAAATAGCAATTATTTGAGCAATATAATTCTAGGGGGAAATACTTCGGAGTCGAGTGAAAGAATACACCAAATTTTACTGATGAATGAGACAAAACATATTACCCCATGAAACGCGGCCCACAAGACGCAACTGAACATGTTTTCAATGCTACATTCAATCTCATGCAATAAATTCTGTTATACCCTAAAATTATTTAATCTAAGCAAAATCCCATTCACATACGCCCAATACGCACTAAATTGTATGTTATTCCCTGAGATTGGTGGTCCAAAGTAAAATCACATTCACATACGCCCAATACGCACTAAAGTATTATGTATGTTATGCTCCGAAATTGGTGACCCAAAGTAAAATCAAAAAAACATACGCCCAAATATGACACAGGTTTTAATTAACCTATAATACGTCATTTAGTCTATACCAAGACATGATCACTCAATTTATCAATCGACACCTCAGAAAGTTTTGACAAGTTTCGTCATTAACCATCATTTTATGACATTTATAGTAATATTAATATTCATGTTTTCACCTGAATTTATTCAACAAGAAAGCCTCACGTCACGAACTACCATCTGTATCTTTGTGACAATTTCCTACAAACTTTCTGAACTGTGCCTTTGGGATTTTTTTTTTAAATTCATCCATTAACAATGGAACTATACTTGACGTATTTGTTCATTTTATTGAAAATTGTAGGTATGTATGTCGTTTTTTTTTTAAACATCACCAAGGCTGTCAAATACTGAGACCGGTTAATATAAAAAAACAGCTGTTTATTGGCATATTCGTTGATATTCAGAAAGTTACATTATTCTAGACTTCATTATTTCATTTATATTTTTGGGACCATCTTGGATAGGATATTCAAAATTACATTTTTGGTGTTGTCTTATTCTCTTTATATTATGTCAGCACAAATCATTTAACCAATCACTTCTGAGATTTTCATGAAATGTACACTATCTCCTTTAATCGAATTAAAAGAATATCCAACTATAGCAACTAATGATCTCAATTCACCTTCTTGTAAAGGTACTCGAGAGATTGTTGTTTAAAAGGTGATACATTTAAGTTTATTACACGGTTTAAACACAAATACCCGAGTAAGACCCGACTACATCTTGAAAAATAGGCAGTTGTACTTATAAACGTCAAGCCACTTCAAATGATAACTGTTTCATTGCTCAAGCGTCTGACAGTTATCATTATCCAACGATCTCAAAATAACCGTGTTTTGAAAGATTTGTCTTCATCCCATATTATAAAATGTTATATTCAGATGCAGACTTTATTTATAAGGTATTTCATAAGACGTTTCTTAAAAGAATGATACAAATCACCAAGTCAACATTTTCGTGAATAGATCGATTTGCCCGTGTTTTACATCCACGTATATGAAACAGATCTATCAAATTTGGGTGGAATCGAACAGTAGTATTATAACAATCCGTACAAAAAGAAGAAAAAAAAATCCATTTTCCAAAAGTCCAAAGTATATGACAATTTTTTGAATAAATTGGCTGTATTCGAACCTGTAAGTCTTAAAATAAAAAAAAAACTAAATTGAAACTAAATTATTGAGTATTTTTTTCTGTATACAATCTTTATCTATCATTTCTTTAAGCATGTCTTGGGGGGTCTATACAAATGGACCAGATAAGGATCGGAAATGAACCACATTTTGAAACTCGAAGACTTACGGCACTATATTTGTGTTTCAATCCCAAACAAAAATAACTGGAGCAACAAACTGAATCTTTTATGGCTTGACATTAAAAATTTGATTGATGTGTGAATCAAATTATGGAAAACG